AGCGCTGCTGATGCCTGAACGGTATGTGGAATGAAGTGGGCGGGCATCGGGAGGCCACTATGGCACGGGGCAAGCACTATGGGCAGTCTATCTGAAGTGTACCTGGCGTGTAAGACGACCCCCCACTTGGAGGCATATTTTTCAGGACCAAAAAATCGTCTTATACGCCGGCAAATACGGTAAATGATTAAGCACTTACCATAATGTGATTGAAATGCCTGCGGTTTGACAACCTGATTGCAGTCGTTACACACCACCAAGTAGAAATCATCGTGGGCTGGACAGAGACCAAATATTGGCATGTCTGCAAAAAAGAAAGAGAGCATCACTCACTTCTCTGATCAATATGCAACTATTTGGGGTGGCAGTACTTTCTAAAGAAGCTGCCTTAAGATAAAGTACACCAGGAAAAATGTTACTCCAGTTTAAAAGTAACTGATGTGACACACCAGGATTATTAAGAGAAAAATCAAATCAGGCTTACAGAAACACTGTTACAAAGCATTAAAATAAAATGCACCCTAAATCATCAGTATCCGGTAAAAGGGACATATCTATTGAAATGCAAACAATAAATACATTTGTACAATACAGAAGTTTAGATGAACTCTATTCAGGGTTATTGGAAAGAATCTGCAACCATCCTATATAATAAAGAGGCAATATGCAAATTGACCCTCATCCATCACACAGTCACAAGATGGCTGTGCCCACAGGTGAGGCAGGGTTCCTGTAAAACAAGAAGGCTTTGCCCACAGTGGAGGTGGGGTTCCCATAATAACCGATCAGCAATCTGAGGCTGTGTGGTGCCGGGCTGGGGTGAGGGGACCTGAGGGTGCACCAGGGGACCCGAGACTGCACCCCCCGCCTGGTGGGGCTTGACAGGGGTGGAGCCGGCTGGGTGTGGATCTCGCCCAATGGTGGTGGGGCCAGCTGGGTCTGGGTCTCATGCGATTTCGAGGTGCACACGGGTGGGCAGGGACTTGACTCTGGGTCCCATGGCATGCCCCAGACTCTGACAGGAGGAAGTTTTTCATACACATTTTACTAATTTTCTTTCATATCTGACACTTCTATTATAAGAAAGGGCAAATAGCAATATTAAAGTATTTTCTCTAATTAATTCCCTTTTAACATGAACAAATTTTGTGCACCGGGCCATTAGTATAAAATGCTTAACAATTCACAAAGCTGAACCACCTAGTGGTTTTATTTGTTTAACTCTGCCTTCTATTCCAGCCACTGGTCTCTGAGTTCTATGAACAGTTAAGAAAGGAAGTAGAGATTTCACTGAAGAGCAAAATTGCTGGTTTTATCAGTATGCAATACAAAAACAATTATCTGTATATACTTTTCTCAGGTCACAACAACCTCTAGTCCTTTTGCTTACATACTGATGCCACTAGGCAGACAGAACTTCAGGACAAACACAGCATTTCATACAATAACCTAAGCTCAGTTACTAGGACAGAATAAGATACAAGTTGGACTTTTTACAGTAAGAAGTTTATCTTAAGACAAATGTAAAATTCAATTATCTTCATAGACATGAAGTGAAAGTAACATAATACTGATAATATACAGGGTATGGCAAAAGTAGGTTTACAATTGTTTATATGGAAAATAATACAATAATTAATGAATAGTAATAAAATAAGCTGTGTTTCATGTACTCACAACTGTAAACCTACTTTTGCCTACCTCTGTATGGTTAACTGACCATGAGCAATTAATTAACAACAATCTAGGGAACAGGGCTAACAGTTCAGATCCAGAATCTAAATCTTTTAAATATTTCAAAATTGATGATTTTAAATGAGTATTTTATACTATACGTACTATTTATAATATCTGCAATGAGTGGATAATCAGTACATTTCAATTAGGCAAATATTTTAATAGACCAAGTTTAAAGGGGGTAAAAGATCTAAAAAGCTGATCAGCATCTGCTTTCTTTCTCAGAAGATTTAATTTAACACTTTCTCCAGCTTGGGTGATCTTGGTGGTGTTAGAGAAAATGTCCTGAAGAGATGTAAAGTGATGATAATCTCTAACATAAAATTACTCATCTAATATTAGCACATGGCTATAGCTGAAATTTTCTTAAACACCTTCTACCACCCTCAACTGCAGAGATTGCTGGCTATGAATCTGAAAAATACCAGGAACCAACATGATCCTGCAGTGCAACAGCAGCACCGAGCAGCTTCTATGTGCTGCTATCTCATTCTGTCCTCACAACTGCCGGGGTGGGTACCATTATAAGCCCACTCCGAAGAAGAGGAAACTGATTCACAGAGAGGTGCAGGACTTTGTTAAGTCCAGAGCTGGGATTCAATTCTGACACTGCAATGGCTTGGTTTTGGTCCCTTGAAGAGCAGAGGAATATGATTTCTAAAAATTCCCTCCAGATTCCAACTTCAATAGTTTGAAATGTCAGGGCTGAAAATCTTTGATGCATAAACTTATTAGATAACATAAGTCTAGCAGACTGCTGACTTCTTTGACTAAGCTTAATAATTTAATGAAAAATAAGAGCCAAACAATGGGCTATTTTCCATGAAAGCATGCCCACACTGAATTAAAACTAAAACATGTAGGGGAAGAGGAAAGGTTATATCCATGGAATGATCAACATGTAAAAAGTCATTTTTCATGGCTATAGGTTCTTGACATGACATTTCATTTTTAAAAATAAAAATTCAAAGCAATTTACCTTAATTTCCATATACCTCTGTACTAAATGCCTCCGATATAGGATAAATAAAAAGGAAAATATGAATTACAGAAATGGTACAATGTTCATAATTTATAGCTATAAAGTACAAAATGTCTATAAATATAAAATCACTAATTTCATTAGGTATTAACTCAATTAGTTTTATTAATCAAATAGTAGTTAAAACAGCATTATAGCATGCGGTCTCAGTTTAGATTTAGGCCTCTGTGATGTGCTGGTTTTCATGGCTCCCCACAGCACTCAATGTCAAACAATGCTGATTAAAATATGTCTCTCTGCCAAATACCAGATACTTCTGGGGACTAGCCAACCCCCCGCCCCTTTTATAAATAAGGAAGTTTAAAAAAATAAAAAGGGTTACCAATCCTTTCCAATCATAGAAATTCAACTGGCTACAATGATGACTCTGTAGAACAAACTGTTCGTTTTTGCTTTGACTCATTTGATCCTTTTATTAGACGCAGAAACGCTAATAAAACTAAGATAGTGGGGGTCATTCTGTAAGGGACCAGGAATCTATACTTCTGTAAGAAATTCAAGTTCCTCAATAACAAGATCATTTGCAATTGATGATGACAGTAATGATGATAACCATAATGGCAATGAGACAGGCTGGAAAACCAGAACACGAACAGGAAAACTGAGATAGATAGCTAAACAGCAGTTTGCAGCCATCTAGTATCTTCCCTAAACCAAAGACACTTAAGAGCAAAAGGTTTGCACTTCTCCCCAACCATGGAGAGGGAAAAAATAGCGTAAGTCACCCTACTTAGGGAGACGATAGCAGAAATCCAATTAGTGCCACTTGCCAACCACACCCAAAGAGAGATGAAGTTAAGAGAATAAATCTGATTTTGATGAATAGTCTACTGAGATCCTTCCCTAAGACCTCCCCTACACCTAGCCTTTAAAACCCCTTGAAAGGGAAGTCCCATCTCATGCTCTTCCTGCCAGAAGCAGGCCCACACCTTTCTCTCTCTTCCCCTTTTATCCCCTACTAGCCATGTGTCTAGGAACCCCAGAGGCTGGCTGCCCTGGGCAAAGCCCCTGAACCTGTCCCCTAGGCCCCCTTTTCTCTGACTTCTTAGCCAAAGCCGCCCAGCCTAGGCTCATTTCCCCACTAGTCCCTCTCCTGTTATCCTAGGCCCCTCCTTGTTTCACTGTTCCCAGCTTTACTAAGTGACTTCTAAAATTCACTGGACTTGTGTTGTGAAATTTTCCCTGCACGAAGTCAAAAACCCATACACTACTGGCCAGCCCTAGGCAGACCTGCTCAGGGCCTGGTCCCCTTTCCGGTAACAGTAAAACAGTGGCATTTACTGAGAGACTACTTTGCCAGGTTCAGTGCTAAGCACTTTTTATATGTTTTATCCTCTAATATAATCCCCATTTTACTGATGAACACATGAACTTGTCTAATATCATCCAGCAAGAAAGTACAAGCAGGATACAAACTCGGGTTTGCACGACTTGGCAGCTCAGTTCTCAGTCTCTGGCTAGCACAGCCCATCTCCCTAAAAAGCCTGCATGTGAGCACACATGCACACACACACTCTCCCTGGTGGAAGAAACATGATGTACTTCTATCTCATCCATGCTACCCTATGAAATCAAGCTCCAGTTATGAAAATCTAAAGCAACTTTAATTTTAGCTTTCTAAATTCTTTACTTTCAGATATCCATATTTGGAAGTAAGCTAGAAGACACAAAATAATTTAAATAAAATGTTGTCTTCACAGGGGAAAAAAAACCAAAAACATGAGTTCTATACCCTTTTTCTGCAATAGAACATTCCAGAGGTCCTAGCAACAGAAACAGAATGTGGAATGTTGTGACAACCAGAAACATGAAATAATTTTTGTGGGAGACAAAAATTTTGTTTCTGAATAGTTAAATTTAAAAAAAAATTTTTTTAAATTTATTGTTTGATTTTTAGAGACAGAAAGGAAGGGGAAGGGAGGAAGGAAGGAGGAGAAAGAGAAAGAGAGAGTAAAACATCGACTTGTTGTTCCACTTACTTATGCACTCATTGGTTGCTTCTTGTATGTGCCCTGACTAGGGATCAAACCAAAGCATAGAGATGACACTCCAACCAACCAAGCTACCCAGCCAGCGCTGTTTCTGAATATTTTTAAAACATAAATTACAATCAGCCCATCTACAAATTAACATATGAACCTTGTTCAAAAGCAAGGAGGGAAAAGCTTGATTTACTACTGAAAACAAAAGAGTTGATAAAAACAAGTTCCAACTAAGTTAACAAAACTTACAAAATATACTTTAAATACACAACTTAAACCATTACATACTTCAAAATAATGAAAAGTTTTAAAATTGTACTTGACCTATGGACTCTGAGCTAATTTAAAAGAACAGATTTTATTGTGTGTTAGTGCTAAATCTTTCTCAGGATTCAGGTCACCCCTAAAGTCCAATTAGTGAGTGGCTCAGCACCCACATCGAGGCCATCCTGTACTCTGCAGACCCCAGGCCAGCAAAGCAGGAATAACAGGTGCTCTCATGGACATGTGAGCACCTGTTTGCAGAACCTCCACAATCAGAAT